AGTACCTTCGGTCTCGCAGGAGAACTCTTAACCTCCAGATCATTGAGCCGATATCCATGATCTTGCGCGACCGTTCATTCACTGTATGAAGGGTATAATTTTTGGGCTTCACTGGTCACAGCTCCTTTTGCTCTCATTATATCATGTTTCTTCCCTTCGAATTCATTATCCTGCTTTTGATTACCTATCTTCAAATCATGTTATTCCTTAATATCATTTTGTCTATTTATATCATTATACAATCGGCTACAGTTTTAATTCTGTGATTGTTGGTAAATATTTTTATGTTCTAGAATTTGCTCTTCCGCACGGTATTTATCTAATACGATTTTCTCAGTTTTATTAGCTCTTTTGAAATCTTCACTTTTCATGATAATCATAATCATTTCTAATCAACTTCACTTATATACGCAACGTCAACTTCTGGAATAATTTCAATTTTATCATATAATGGATTGTAATCAGTTGACAAGAACTGAACAAAATTGATATTATCCTGTTCAGCTCTTCATTTATGCTCCCTTCAAGATGATCATAAGAAATAAGTGTATGAATGTTTCTCAAATACTCACCAGATTATCATTAGAGAAGTCCAGACAAAAATTCAGTTTACATTCATTGATCTCTCTACTTATGCCAGTTTATACTAACAATTCGTCATTTTTCTAACATATACTCAAGCAAGAACCATTTAAACTCAAACGATGTTTTTTTCTTCCTTTAAATATACACACTAACAAACACATAAAACTAGCTCCTCCTTCTTGTAATGGTAGGGCTTCTCCTGTTAATCATTCACATGAAATGAACTTAACATTTATTGTTTTTGACATAAAAATAAACTCTGAAAACAACAAGTAATAAAACATGGTTTTCCACTCCAGATCTATAATATACTTGGATCTAAAATAATAATTGGTCACTTAAACAGACGGAACACAGGCGATCATTTGATGCTGTATTCGGTTAGAATTATTTAACCTGTGTATGCAAAAACATATAACAATATATTCATAATGTGATGAATAATTCAGTAAGATTTAAATAGATTTATGATTTCACCATATCAAGCTGTCATAACCATAGTTTCAGCAAATAATACGACTGTTTTGATTGAAATGGTTCATTAGGTAATAACAATATCATATCATGGTTGTTTTCTACGGGATACGGTTGCTAACCACATGCCCAACCCTTCTCGTTTACCCGGATAGTTTGAGACTGGCAGCAACCCTAGAAGAGCTATAGGTGGAGTTGCAAGAAATGATACTGGGAGATAAATATTTAAGCTGAAAAGAATAGTAATTTTTATTATCATCAATCATATAGACACTGCGCTAAATTCTTTTTTACTTAATATAGTTATTTTTAGATTATCCCGCTAACACTATATTGGAATATTTCAATAGTTGAGATCATAAGTCGATTGAAGCTAGACCACCATAGTAAACTTGGGAGTACTGGATGGCCGTTTCGTTCTATTGTACTTCCAGGTTTTCCATGGTGGTCTAGCTTCAATTGATTCACGGTCTCAACTATTGAAATTACTACAACCTCTACAAAATCCCTCCTGATATTGGAATGTGACTTAAATGTCAAATTAGTTCCCAGATGTATAAATGAGATATAAAATAAAAGACATTTAAAACTGCTCACTAGTCAACTGCTGCACAAATGAATTGAATTGTGTATTATACCAAAATCCTATAAAACAATAATGGAATACTAATAGCGAATACATTGTACATACAAATGAATCGGACGAAATTAAAAAAGTTCACCCATAATAAACACAATTTTATCATGATTATAGTTTACACGAATATAAAGTGACCTAATCAACAACAAGTGGAAATAACCCTTATGTTACAACATCAAATGAATCATGTAATCTAATCATGTACTGGTTTATGTAATATGTGAATACAATTGTACTCATATAGGTCAACTGCATAGCTTTAAATAGTTCACTCTGTTTAGGAAACTGACTTATCACACATGAAACGCTACATTGTCTAAACGTCATTAATTCAGAAACTCATACAAATTATTAGGCAGTTAAACTTCATTTTTTTCTATGCAATATGTGATACACACTTATTAGAAAAGTTAGCTAGTTCTGTAGAATGACCAGACTATTGTGAATACATTGGGTGAAAACAGTTAAACTGAAATATCAAACAATTTTGTTGAAGGGCCCCTAAATATGTTATGTTCTTATTGAATGGTTGTTGATATCTACAATGAATAGTATTATTATGTATGGTATCCACTTACAGAATCCATGACTATATATCACAACCGTAACACTCCACATACACAGGAGGTTGCACTTAGCGGTCCTCGTAGGACAGACAAGATAACTGAATGTTCTGAATCTCGAACATCTGACCCATTCAAAAGGACTATTTCCAGCTCCCGGCAGTTGTAATAGATAACACTCAATAGTAAGTATCAAAATCTTTATTGTCACATTCCTCACTAGACACAGGGAATTCATTGGTCACTTGCATATCTGAGTTCGTTTATGCCCCGTCTTCACTGTCATCACTGGATATAATGACATCCATATCTATATTTTGAATCTACCAGACATCGGAGCATCACATGCAGACCTTCCTATTTATTTCACTCCATCAACGATTGGAGAAATCAGGATGGCCGTCAGACAAATATACCAGCTGAAGCACTGAAATCAGACTTCGAAGTAACTGAAAACATGCTCCACATTCTATTCAGGAAGATTTTAGAGGAAGAATAACTGTCACCGACAGACTGGAAAGTAGGAAAACTTATCAAGATATTGATGGAAGGAGTCCTAAGAAAATGTGAGAACTACAGAGGTGTCAAGCTACTGCCAGTATCAGGAAATGTTTTCTAAAGAGTATTAGTGAACCAGATAAAACATTCAGCAGACGTTCAACTTCGGGATCATCAGGCTGAATTTAGCATTTATCGGTCGTACACAGACCAAATCCCGACACTACGGATCACCGTTGGACAATCAATTGAATGAAGTTCGTTACTATACATCAACCTCCTTGACTATGAGGAAGCATTTGACATTGTGGATAGGAGAACATTATGGAATCTTCCTCGACACTATGGTATGCCTGAGAAAATCTTCAACATCATACGGATTCATACGACGAACTACAGTGCAAAGTGGTCAGTGGAAGACAGCTGATAGACGCATTACAGGTTGTAGTGTCGGTTACCATGTAAAACTCATATAACTTATTCTAGCTTCTGGATAGGCCAATTTATTCATTCTTCTTGAGTCACGTTTTGACCTTTTTAATTATTATTATTATCAAACTTGACTGAGCGTATGTGTGTGTACATCTTATCCTACTCATCACATGTCAGTAGCTGATTCTTGTGTGACTATAAATATTGATTAACGCTTGATTAAATGGAATTGGCTCACACCCCTTCAGTGCGCGTCATTTGGCTTTGCTCTCTTCTCTTCGCTTCATTACTCTCATTTGTTGTCCAGATCAGTGAGTGTGCAAAATATATGTATCCAAAAATCCATTTTCGTATTCGACTAGTTCAATTAAGTTATTTACCAACGCGATTTCATTCTATCAAATATACGAGGATCGGCAGTATATATATTATCAATAACAATCGAACAAATGATATAATTGGAGTCAGATCACGGGTCACTAAAAAGTGAGATCCGAAGTCAGGCATGTCTGCCTACCCTCATTCTTCCTCTTTCTTTTGGTGATTGGTTAGATTATAAAGATCTCGACATTCGAGGGGAAGCACGGAATACAATGGACTGGTCAGATGCAAACGTACGACTTGGGCTTCGCAGATAACCTAACCGTTTTATCCCATACACGTCAACAAATACAAGTCAAGACGAACAGTGTAGCAGTAGCTTTTGCATCAGTAGACCTTGACATACACAAGGAAAAAAGCGGGGTCTTCAAATACAACACAGCGAAGACCAACGCAATCACACCCGATGGAAAAGCCCTGGATGTGTAAACGTCCTCTTATCTGGATAGCATCATCGATTAACGAAGAGGATCGTATTCAGACGTACGGGGCAAAGACTGGCGAGGCATGGGTGGCATTCGCATAGTTGAAGAACATATAGAACCCCAAACAACTGTATGCAAGCCAATATCAAAGTCAGAATCTTCAATACTAACGTCAAGACAGTTCTTTTGGAGAACTATCACAAACATCGTCAAAACGTACAATTTTTTCTAAACAGTTGTCTACGTAAGATACTCAATGTCTATCCGTTGGACATCATCAGCAATAGCCTACTGTAGGAAAGAACAAATCAACTTCCAGCTGAGGAGAAAATTAGTAAAGGACTCTAGAAGTGGAAAGTACAAACATTGAGGAAATCATCAAACTGTCAAAGGTTAACTCGGCTTTTGTGATGTTGTAAAAAAGTGTAAAAAGGTGTATATTGATATTTATTGAAGATTTAGACATAGGAAAATTCAAACCCACTCTGTGTATTCAAAAACAATTTGTTCTCAACTTAAACCTACCTTGGTAATATTATCTTATTACACAGAGTGATGAGGTTTCAAATTGTTTTCACGTTATTATTTTCTGTATCATCCTTCTCTCCTCCTACCCTTCATTTATAGTCTAGTTGACCTTCTACTTTTATATATAAATGTTCTTAACAAGTATATCATGAGTGATCAGATTACCCCAATATATCATCACATAGTTCTAATAATTTTCGTCCTCTTATTACACTATCGAAATATATCAATGGGACTAATTGCTTTAAATTTACCATCAAATTTTAAAGTCGATTTATAAAACCATTCATCAAGAACTGTGAACATTTTCAGTAGTCAAAGCATGTTGCAACAGTTATTAATCTAATCACAAATTGAAATTATAATCCGGATAAAAATTCACATGCTACTTAGTGCGTTTAGTACGTGTTGCAAAATGTCACAAAATTGATCTGCCCTACATCTGTTCATAGTTTATGTAGTTACATTCAGGTAATGGTTAATCTTGTTAGAGCTATGATTGGTCAATTTATATGTAATAACTCTTTTTTAATAATTCGTTTTACTAACATTTTGTATAAAAAGCGTATCGCACTACTAGATACGAATGTTACAAAGCTTACAAAGCTTATTCATTTGAAGTAAGTTATTAATGATCTATTGTTTAGTGATGTTATTTGCATTCGATTGACATGCTTTTTGCATTTATTACCATTTGGATGACATCTCCCCTTGGAACACTAGCACAGCCCTTATTTAGTTGTTTATTTGAGTACTTTAGTGAGTCCAAAACAACAGCTGCTTATAACCATATCTCTATTGAAATGTAACGTTACGGTGAGATATTATGTGGAACAATCGACATCGATGATGGAAAGAATTAGAATACCATGAGCCGATTTAAGTTAGACCACCACTGGAAACGTGAATGCATCGAACGACCATTTCGTACTAGTATGGAACACCTCAGTTGTGCGCATTCACGATGTTGCACTCCGTACTTGAACCCAGTACCTTCGGTCTCTCACGCGAACGCATAACCTCCAGACCACTGAGCCAGCATCCAACTATGTTAGTGTCTAGATTCAATCGATCTATGATCTTGCGCAACCCTTCATTCGTTGTATGAAGTGTATAACTGTCTCACAATCGACATGAATTGCACTCCACTGATCCCATCTTTCCACTCGAACTCTAGGAAATCCAAATCGATCTATTCACTAGTGAGTACACGATTGTTATCTAAAAGCGGATTTGTGAAGAATGTATTAACGTTGATTGTGAACAGTTGTGATATAATTTCTACAAGCTGAATAATATCAGAAAATGCTTTTATGATTTATTCAAGTAGAAGATACAAAGGAATTGAAAACGAGTAGTCAAATCACTTATTGATTTTCACAGTTAAATTTATAAGTAGATGTAATGTAGATCACCGTCTCTAACCTGGATGCAGTAGACAAACTTTTTGTCGCAGTATGGGACTCCTCAGCCACTGAAAATATAATTAAAGCACGTACAGTAACGAAAAATAGTAATTCACGTAATACCTTACATTAATGCTACATTTCAATACATATGTGGTCGTCAGCGGCTGATGAGAAACCACAAAATATGACGAAAGCGTTTTATTCTGCTTCAATTTTTTGGCCTGAATAATTTAAACAGATTAGTCCTTGATTAATTATAACGAACAATCCTTATGCTGGGCAAAGTCCAATGAAGTTGATGTTACTGAATGTAAATTAAAATAATACAGACAAATTCAAGTGTATCCAACTACGAGCAGTGGAGAATATTCTTGTGAATTCATGTAACACGTAATGTATATATTTGGTGGAATATGATTAACAATGAATTCAAGAAGTATGCCTCGTTCAAAATGGTACTCGTCAGCCGGATGTACCTGCATTCTTCCTGCATCTTGTATCCCATATCGTTTGCTTCAAACTCCATTGCGTTATGCATTTATCTACTGAGTTCAAACAGCCGCTTATTTGTGCAACATGTAAGAGATTCGGTTCAATTTGAAACTGTTCGTATTATTCCACGGTTGAAATTTGTTCAATCTTGATTGGCAGATAATTTAGCCTGTGCGAACTGCCCCAAAATAGGCACGATTCCATAATTTCATATAGAATTGATCGAGTGTGATTAGTGGTGGAATCCAGGATTTGCTTTTCGACCTGTTTGGTATGTTAGTATATTCAACTAAGAATGAGCAAACTTACATTAAAACATCAACAGCAGGATTATGCGATCCATTACCATCTAATTGTGTATATTGGAAACATTCAACTTGAAAAAAGGAAACATTATAAAGTGGACATAGTAAATCTATTGAATTTTCAGGTAGTAATTTCATTCGTCAATTTCTCAGGTAGATCACTGATCATTCAGAGGCGTTGAATTTGTTTATCATATAAGTTTTAAAACTTCTCTTTGTTTATGCGTTTCTATGTCATGCAATGACAAATAAATGATAGTAATCTATTCATGTGATAAACAAGTGGCTTGTATGAAATCGATCATTTTAAACTAATCTGGAAACCAGTTGGTTAGATGAATCAAAAGCCTAAAAATTAATTATTGACGAGTTTTATACACATTCCATGTCATCGAGTAGCATGGTGTTTGGTTTACTTACTTACTTACTTACGCCTGTTACTCCTAATGGAGCATAGGCCGCCGACCAGCGTTCTCCAACCCACTCTTTTCTGGGCCTTCTTATGGTGTTTGGTTACGAACGATAAATCATTACTGTCTTTCATTTAAAATGTACACAACGCCAACCAACGTCTTTTAATAAAACATAGAATTGAAGTCTTATCGTAGTGGGAAGCGAATTTAAAAAGACTTTCTCAAAATTAAAGTCATCACATAATTTAAAGTCTCATGTTACCCGCATTCATCAGCTGTTATCTTTATCCAACCATCACATGTGTTGTTCAGTTTTCTGTGTACGAATCCGTGTGTGTGATCGTGGGTGAGTACTGCTGACGTTAAACTGTTAAAATCAGTAATTGGTTTAATTGCTCGTTTACATTTCCTTTATATATTTTACTTAAATAATCATAAAAGCGTTTTCTGTTATTATTCAACTTTTAGAAATGATATCACAACTGGTCACAATGAACGTTGCTCTAGTTCTTTTATTCACATTCAATATGATGAAGCTTGAAGCATACACATATTTAGCATCAATAAAATTTGATGATTCTGGTAAATGTTTTATTTTTAATAAAACATCAAAATAAATGTAAACGTTTACCGAGTTTATGAATGTATAAGTAACATCAGTAAGGTTTGACTTGATAATTTCAAATGAATTGAACATTAGGTTACTTACGCCTGTTGCCCCTCGTGAAGAAGCGAGCATAGGTCACTCACCAGAACCCGCCATCAAACTCTATCAAGTGTTGGGTAGATAGTTATGAATAAAAATAATATATTTGTAGATATCCAAATGAGGAGAAAGTTTAAGTGTTTAAATTTTCTAACGTTTCAAGACTCGACGGATGTTAGTTCTTCAGAGAATTAATAGTACCTGATAGTACGTGTAAATGCAAAGTGTCAGTAAATATGTTGGCAGGTTTTAAGGACAATCATGCTGACCATCTAACTGCTTCTGCTAAAAATTCGAAAAAAACTTCTAACCTTCCACATTAATTCGAATTATCTTTATTGTTTATATTAGCTAAACGAAGATGTCAGATAAATTGAAATAACCCAAAATTATAAACTAACTGTCATATTAACAACAACGCATCACATCATGGAGTGGACATGTAGTTCTAAGCTATTATTCATAAACTCTAACCAACGGTAATCACTATTTATCTTCAATGCGCAATTCACCTGAAAACTTTGACTTGGAGCCATCTTGACTTATCACTATTTGAAAACTCAGGTAATAGTGGAATTTGCAAGGATTCCAGCAACCTTTCCAATCAAACAGTCTAAGGTTGGCTCGGCTTTTGTGGCGTTGTACAGAAGTGTAAAAGTGCGTATACTAAGGTTTATTGAAGCCTTAGCCATTCGAAAATTCAAACCCCCTTCGTGCATTCAGAAACAGCTTGTTCTCACCTTAAACCTACCCTGGGAATATTAGCCTATTATCTAGAGTGATTAGGTTTCAAGTTGTTTTCACATTATTATTTTCTTTATTATACCTGTCTCCTCTCATCCTCCATTTCTAGTCTACTTGACCTTACATTTTTATACACTGATGTATTAGACAAGTGTATGTGAGATTGGATTGTTCGAAGTGTATCGCGCTAATATATCATCACATAGTTCTGACAATATTCCTCTTCTCATCAAACTACGGAAATTTTTCAAAGGGACTAATTGCTTCGAATCATTAGCTCTAGGATGATAATTATTGGTTGCTGATTTCGAAACGTGATATGAAGTGTAGATATTTGTCGGCTGATCACCTTTTCTCCAAACTATGAACGCAAATAAATTACAAAGTACTAATTACATTGTTTTGAACGTTGTCATGGACAATGACAATGTGTTCTTGAATACGTTGTATTTTGTAGCGTTCCAGTGTTTTATAACACATGAGCACACATTTTCAAAAAACAAGTTAACCAATCACCTACAAACATTTATAATCACACCCAGCAAATCATCATTGCTAGAGGTCAGGAATCACAATAAACATGCAATAAATGTCAGCCAGACCTACGGACCACAAATGATAGCCTAGAGGACTGCAATGATCATAACTGAAGACGGTGAGACATAAACAACAGCAAATATAGCTCTCTTTCAAGATGATGACAAGCCCTGAGAATGCATCATTGTCCTCATCCACAAGTTTCAGATGTTTCATAACCTGTGAGAAGGGTAGGAGACGACTATCAAGCGCGACTGCGTTGCTGTTAATGAAGCTATAACTTCAAAATACTGGAAGGTACTGAGCCAATGTAGTTTTTTCAGTTGTAGAGTACCTGAGACAGATGTTAGCATCGTATAGAACTCCTACCAGGAATCGTGATGCAAATGATACGTGGATGGCAGCTCAAAGATGCGTTGAAAGTAAGGACCAGTACAAGACAAGTTTCCTTACTCTCATCGTTTCCCTTTATTTTCGTTGTCGACTATATTGTGAAGACCTTCATATCTCAGGAAATTCACGGGATGCAGTGCAAAGCTTAGACGCATATGCATAATCTTGACTTTCCAGACTACTTAGGATTGATATTACGCGCACAGTATCAAATACAAATAAAGTTAGTTAGTGTGGTGGAAACTCATGAAACGGTTTGCTATAACGTTCACGCGAGAAAAAAGGAAATCGTGAAATGTGACACAGCGATCAGCAATCGAATCACACTTCATAGAGAAGTTCTGGGAGAGGTGAAAGCTTTTACGCACCTAGGTATTATCACTGCAAACAAGAAAGATCCGATGCAGATGTGGAGTTACGAATAGCAAAAGCGAGGTCAGAATTCCTTTAGTTTAAGCATACCTGGAAATCAAAGGTTTGCCAACCATGTTCGAAATCAGAAATGTTAAAACAACTCACTTGCACGGAGATGAAGCTTGATGACGATCACAACGATCGCCAATGAAGTATAGGTATTTATAAGCGGCTATCTGGAGAAGGTACTCCAGATCTACTGGCCACATACCTACCTAACGTGTGAGAGAACAAACCAGCTGTCAATTGGGGGATTAGAGAATGACGCTGTAGCTCGATCGGACTCACTGGAGAAACCAATAATCTTGATCACGAAGTAGGCCTTAACTTGACGTTCTCAAGGCAAAATGAGAAGAGGTATACCACAGAATGTAATGAGACAGGAACCGGATGTAGCCATCAAGAGCATCAATTGGACTCCAGAATAACTTTAAAGGAGAGTCAATTTCAGGGTTGTCCGTAGGTTCCTGACCGGTGGCCTATTTTGCACGAGGAGTAACAGGCTCAAATAAGCAAGTAAGTATTCTGCCGATAGTAAGCATTACAGTATAACCCATAAACACTGTCTAAAATTATCTGTTAGGACATTTTGACAGACTGATCCTAGAATTTCAAAACTTACATTATATTGTCCAGCCACTTAGAAAATTATCTAAAAACGTCTTTTTAGTTTCGTTTAGTGCATATATTTAAACCCATTTCGCGTAATTTTATTCGTCCTTTATCCGAACTCTGATGTTAACTAACACGTTGCTATTGTGTATATGGTAATTTCTCTATTTAGGAGAAATGTACATCAGTTTGGGCAATGTGAATATTTCATTGAGCTCAGATTATGAATTAACAATAAGTGATAGAGACTGTACAAAAACACTTTCCTTGAAGCCACCAACCGAAGAAGAGAACTTTTTTAAACATGGATACCGTCCAGGATCTTCGTAAGTTTAAAACATGATACGAATTGAGTTAATAATTCACTTGTTCCTTAATCACATCAGCATCATTATCTTAATCGGTAAACAAAAAGACCACAAGGTAGATTGATTTTATTTTAATTTCATAGAACATTGTCGTATACAATCCGTATTTTACTGGCCGATGCTGCTAACTTGGCGCGGTGGTTGGGCTTGCCTATCATGATGACCCAACCAAGCTATATTGGCTGGAATATATGTTTCTGTAGGTTCTACCATACCAGGCAGGTCGATTGGAGAACTGGAAGACTAAAAGCAGCAACTCAAGGTCTGAGGGCGAAGTCGTACTGCTGACTACAGAGGGCCGTGACGGCAGATGCTGCCTTCTCGCAAGGAAGGAAGGGGTTGAAGAAGGTTGACCCCAAAAATGTCACACCTCATCTTACCTCACGGATTTCCGTCTCCGGCTGTAAGGCCCTTTGAAGAACGGAGCGAACACATCAAAAATCTCCCACGAAAAGGTCGTGTGCGACCGGCCTCAAGCAGTTGTCCCTTGGGCTCTGTGGTCACGCTCTCAGGTCTTTAGGGCCGACATCAATCTGGATTACTTTTCAGGTTCCTCAAGAAATATCCTTATACAGTGTGGGCAGCCGGGAAGTGACATCAACCCTCATACTCCTAACAGCACACGAGACCAAGTTGGTCATATCCAGATCATTTCTACACCTCCTGATACCTCCACGACTAACTATTTTCACATCTCTTTATCACCTCGCACCGCTAGGGCAAACGATTTGAGAACGCGGAACGTTATTCCTGGTCTCCTGAAACCACGATCTAAAGTACACGAAGAAGTTTTCAACGTCCGAACATTGTACCAAATAGAACAACAGGCTTCCTTAGCAAGGACTTTAGAATCACACGCCATCGATGTGTGCTGCGTCTCCGAAACACGCATACAGGATCCGAGTAGTGTCATTCATTTGACCTCGCCATGTCAAAACAAAGAACCAACTTGATTTACACTTCGTGTACCTGAAATCCCTGATGCTGCTTCCCGTGGCCTCGCCGGCGTAGGTATAGCATTGAGTCCTGGGACAGAACTAGCTACCGTAGACTGGATCCCAGTAGACAGTCGTTTGTGCGCTGTTAGACGAAACGAAACAGTAAGGACTCGGAAAGATAGGGACACTCATCGTTGCCTCTTCGTCGTCTCTGCCTATACTCTCACTGACTGCAGCTCAGATGATGTAAAAGATGAGTTTTACGGAAAGCTTTCCCACATTCTCCGAAAAGCTAGGCGCTCTGATGTAGTAATAGTGGCTGATGACTTAAATGCTCAATTAGGTAAACTAAGTGAAAGGGAAAGACACCTGGGTGGATCTTATAGTGTCGTGGCTCAAAGAACGGATAATGGCGACCGTCTGTTGCAGCTATACTCAGATAACCGCCTGCTAGTAAATACTAACTAGAAGCTTAGGGAGCAACACTGGATCTCAGCAGCATCTATCGCACTGATAGATGCTCGGAATCATCCACCTGGCTCTGAACATAATGAAGAGCGGAGTCAGCTTAAGCGCAAGCTGACAAGAAGTCTACGCAATGATCGCGAACAGTGGTGGGTAGCGAAAGCAAGAGAGATGGAAAAGGCAGCGGCAATAGGTAATAGCAGACAATTTTTCAGACTTGTTGAGGAAACCGGTATTAGGAACCCGACTGTTAGCGAAACAATCTCAGAGAAAGATGGACATATTATTCATTCTCAATCCAGGAGATTGGATCGATGGGCAGAACACTTTAGGGATCAGTTCAACTGGCCTTCAGCCACACTTC